CTCTTAGGTTTAAAGGGTTACAGTTAGACTTGGCAAAACAGGCGGGTGGGCCGGGTGTGGGTCGGGTTACGGGTCAAACAAGTACGGGCCCAATACGGGTCGAGGTATACGGGTCGAAGTATACGGGTCCAATATTTTGGACCCGTACCCTACCCTGTATGGGTACGGGTGGACCCGCGGGTACCCATTTTTTCTCTCTCTAGGTTTTAGTTTTTACAGTTTCACCCTTAACAGTTTTTAATTATAACAGTTACAACCCCAAAATTCCTACAATTTTAATTAAGTATACATTTTTTGGTAACTATAACATTGCTGATTCATTTGAGCTCGTTAATTTCATGTAAATCTCATCCAGTTATAAAATTTTAGAACTCTTTGGTTTACAAGGTGCAATATCAATTACTTTGATAACAAGTAGGTTTTCAATTTAAATAATCACCAATTACTCTGCAAGAAGAAAATTTTAACAAATTTGATATAAAATAATATCTGACACGGTTCAACCCAAGGTTTACTGTTGATTCAAGTAGAACTTCAACAATTAAAAGAAAGAAAGCATAACATTTTATTGATTGAGCAAATCAGCAAAATTACTACCGAAAGAAATGTTTAACTTATGGACTAATGCCAAAAGTAGAGCATGATATCGCAACCATGAAATAGTAAATGATGAAATTAGAATAATGTTAAAAACAAGGAAAGGCTGATCATAGATAGAGCCAAAGCGGAGGAAAACAGAGCCACCACCGAGCTTGGAACCAGACATCTCCTTTTTGACAAATAGAAAATAATCATACTGGTTTTGTCTCTAATAACTGTCTTCAGAAAAATAATACTACACAAATATCCAAGTATGTGCTTAGTGATGCGCACATAAACTGTAGAATATTTCTAATCATAACGGGAAAACATTCAACATGTACTGATGTAATGCTCTAATATCAAAATCTCTCCATCCTAGTTAACTGAATTTTTGACAGAAAAATTAATTAACATAGATGGTAGAGATCTGAATCGAGGGTTTTTGGAAACAAGAAAAGCTGAAAACATACCGACAGACCAGAAGCACACAGGATTAGCAGCAATGTATAAAGAACCATCTCCCATCAAAACAAAATGTCTCCAGTTAGGATAAAGAACAAAATTTAGATAATATCATTTAAATTTCAGACTCTTCTGCGTCCTGCTGTTGCCGTATTTGCGAGCAATTTGACTCTAGCTTTTAAGAGTCTAGCTGCTACTTCTTTAAGTTGATCCTCTACTAAGATGCCTCTCTTGTACACTCCAAAGCTAAATTCAAAATAGATGACATTGTTCCTTTCCTGCAAAATTTTTATCCTCCCCTGTTAGCAAATTGGTGTCCAAAACTTCTGTTATTGAACCAGGTAGTGCTTTAGTAACCCAATGCTTCAGTTTCATCTCCCCAGAAAAGATTTCCTCAGTTGGCTTCTTCCCAAGAAATGTTTCCATCAGCATAATACCATAGCTGTAATGTTGTGTTGATTTGTTGAAGATTGAGAGGCAGAGCAGAGGCGGCCAGGTGCGAGAGAGATGAATTAGGGCAAGTCAATGGGTCATGTTTTGGTTTTTACCATTTGCAAAAATGGGTGCCCGCGGGTTCACCCCAATAACCCGTCAGGCATACGGGTCGGGCCGGGTACGGGTCCATAAAAATGGGTTCAATTTATTAGACTCGTATCTTATATTTGTTTCCCAGGTACGGGCCGACCTGTGGGTCGGGACCCGTTTTGCCAGGTCTAGTTACAGTAGAGTTTTTAGGTTGAGAGAAAAGAGGGCTAGTCTTGATTGAGAAGTGTATTATACTGTGTAAATCTTCAAAGTTAGTGCAATGAGCCTCAATATTACGGAGCTCAACGTAGACGTAGCTTATCCAAATCTTGGATAGGTGAACCACGGTAAAGACTCTTGTGTGTTCGTTCTTAATTGTGTGTGTGTGAGATTGGTAGATATACATTGATAATTAGGCCCTAATAGTAACAATACACTTGTCTACTAGTGCCAAATGTAAATTGGCAATAGCATTGGCTTCTATCTTCTCCCACTTTTTACCAATCAGTCAAACTTTGTGGTATCCCTTGAATTCCTTGCAAACAGTTTCCTTTCTCAAGATTGCCATTATCTTTATATTCCATAGCATAAAGTTGATGTTGTTGAACTTTTCTAATTCATATTTTGCCGCCACCTTTGTAACGAACACAAACACCATATTGAACAATATTAGTAAATAATATTGCACTTGTGAACAATATTGTTTGCTTGTGAACCGTACTAGAAACCAATACTCTAATACTACTCTTAGGAGATTGGCAAACCCAACTACCAGCATAATAAATATGAAATAAGAGAACGAAGCATGAGAATGATAATTAATGATAAAACTAACAGACAAAAGATTTACATGGTAAAACCCTCAATTGATTATAAGGAAAACATCTATGGGTAAAGACTATAAGCGTTTTATTAAAATGATAAATAAGATGTACAAAACCTCTCTCTAATGAATAGGAAAGCACTGGAACACTTTTTCTCACAATGAGGAAAGACACTTTGGGAGAGTATAGCTAGTAGGTGTTAGTGATGTTGTGATGCATTTTGGAGAAATGGACCATGATATTTATAAGAAACCATGATCTCCAAATCAATAGTATTTTTACTACATTCACATTTTCAAGTTCAAACATTGTAGCCATTTAATATATTTGCATATTTTTGTCATAATCTCTTGTCACCCTTAAGTTACCTAGCCCACCATTTCTTACTAAAAATTAATTACCATGCATGTTAGTGTTGATGCGTGATTTTGACATCAATGATTATGCACGTGCAAAGTGCTATGAAATTACATGTGAGATGATTATGGAGAGTGCTTATAGTGCAGTAATAATATTTGTTTGTTAATACGTAAATAACAAGTTGACAAGAGAGATTTTTAGACTAGTTCGGATGTTATAAGCAAGTCCTACGTTCACTGTGATTGTATTAATGACTTTCTATTTGACTGTTAATGAAACAAACAAAGAGAGCGATTACTCAAGGTTACAAGATTGTAGTGTTATAAGAGAATGACAAACCAATCTCTTTCTAATAGTGTGTCTTTGTTATTTTTTCTGTAGAATAAGTGTGTGAATAATCTATTTATTGAGGAGGAGAGCTTCTTATTTATACTTTTTTTTTAACTCAATGTAATGAGTGTTTTCGCAAATTGCCCCGATTCGGTGAAGATATTCCTTCATTCTGATTCGTTGAGAGCTTTCATCTACATCTTTAAATTTAATGAAATTGCGACATTTGTTAGGGGTGTTCAAAACCCGTTAACCGAACCGGTTTTTTGGTTCAGGAATTTTCTTGAACCGAAACCGAAACGGTTTAGGGGAAAACCGGTTTTAATTTAATATTCTATATATTTTTTTAATTTAATATTTTTATAATAAACCGGATTTTTTTATTTAATATTTTTCATAATAAACTGGTTTCGGTTAATCGTTTCCCATATTCTCCCAAATCAGTAACCAAACTGAAAATTCTGTTTTTTAACTACTTTGAACTGAAACCGAGCTGGTTTTTCTGATGAAAGGAAATTTGGTTCGGTTACTAGTTTGGTTTGGTTTCTGCATTTTTTTTAATACCCCTAGCATTTGTCTGCACAAAATATCCTTCTAAGCCGGTTTAAGGATCAAACAACTAATATAGTTTTGTTTTCAAGTGCTTGATGAATCTTGGTTGGTGGAGATGCATGCTGAGATCTAATTAGTGGGGAAGTCTGCTGAGTTTTGATTGGTGAAGATGACATCAGCATATCATTTAGGCATAACAGTTAGTAAACCCATTTGTCAAAGTTTGTGAGCTAATTGCCTGCAAATCATGTGAAAGTGGCTTCACATTTCAGCAAAACTTATAACTTACAATTTTCCCATATGCATGTATGCTTGAAACAATGGCAAAGTTTTCACAACTAACAATATTCTTCTGCAGCTATCTTCCTCACAAAATCCGCAGCCTCTACTAAAGTATGAAATTAACCCATTTCAATTACAACAGATTTAAGAAAAGAAATGCAAACATTCATTGTTGGGGAAGACAACAAATTAACACAATAATGGATGTGACCAAAGTTGAAAGATAGTATTTAATTGTGGTTGTGGCAGAGAGGTAGTACAATAATTGTATGTAAAAACTGAGAAACACCGAGGTCCACCATTCCAATGCCTTTTGAGTTTTGTCTTCTTCTTTACTCCTGCCAGGCAGCTGTCTAACACAAAGATATTTATATGATACATAAAATATTGCTATTTTATGTGTCTTCTTGTTCATTGAGAGCTGAGTCAGAAAACACGATTTTCAAATGCCGTCTTAATTTTTTACAATTTTATGGGGCAAATTACGGCAACAAATAAATTATATACAGTCTGCATATTGCATATGATTAAATCAATATGCCCCCTTTATCTGGACAGCAATATCCTAAACTATTTTGTCAACTTGTTCATTGTGAAAGTTACAGAAACATTATTTTTAATTGTGGTGAAAATATAAATAATACAGGCAGCTAAGAGGGACGTAATTCCTGATTCTTATTTCTTCCTAAACAAATTAAGTTTGATTTGATTCGCTTCCTTTCACATGCGTTGGCAATTGTAATTAGATACTTCCAAGGACCGGCGGCTACCCAGTAAGTGTTGGAACTTACTGATGTCTTTACAGTAAAAGTTTCAAGGATCCAACGTGAAGGCTATATCATTTTTTTTCCTGTAGGTGGCGAAGAAACAAGTTTAACTACAGGTAAGTCATAAATTGTAAAACTAATTTAACATAATTAAGATTTTTGCAAAAACAATAATTTCATTCATATATAGCCAAAATTTCAAATTCAGCATAATTAAGTTTATTAAAATTATAATTAATTGTCCCAACAGTAATCAATGGTGATTATATTAGGACAGCCTTGTTTATATTAATTCTTGAACCACCAGAAACCCTAAAAAAGAAAATGATGTCTTCATGCAAATACGTTCTTTTTTTGTTTGCTGTCCTGTTATCAGCTTCTTCATCAACAATTTCGATTTCAGTTCAGCAGAATTTTGTGCAATGCCTCTCTGTCAACTCTCAGCTTTCCATTCCTTCCTCCACTTTTTACACCAGAAACACTTCTTCATTTTCTTCAATCCTTCTATCTACTGCTCAAAACCTGAGGTTTACAGACCCTTCACTACCCAAGCCTGAGTTTATCTTCACCCCTTTGGAAGAATCCCATGTCCAAGCAGCCGTTATATGCTCCAAAAAGCTTGGAATTCATATGAGAGTCCGAAGCGGAGGCCATGACTTTGAGGGGCTCTCTTATGTATCCGAAATTGAAACACCTTTCATTGTAGTAGACATTTCCAAACTTCGATCTATAACCATAGATATTGATGATAACAGTGCTTGGGTTCAGTCTGGTGCAACAACTGGTGAAGTCTACTACAGAATTGCAGAGAAAAGCAATATCCACGGCTTTCCTGCTAGTTCTTGCACAAGCTTAGGCATTGGTGGGCTCATCACAGGAGGTTCTATTGGTTTTATGATGAGAAAATACGGTCTTAGTGCTGATAATGTCCTCGATGCTCGAATTGTTGACGTGCACGGAAGAATTCTTGATCGAGCAGTCATGGGGGAAGATCTATTTTGGGCAATAAGAGGAGGTGGAGGAGGAAGCTTTGGAATCATACTCTCATGGAAGATAAAATTGGTTCCTGTGCCACCGACAGTTACAGTTTTTACACTTAACAAAACTAGAGAACAAGGAGCCACAAAATTGTTCTATAGATGGCAACAAGTTGCACATACGCTCGATGAAGATCTCTTCCTCTTCCTTAGAGTTTTCTTTCAAGTGGCCAATTCAAGTCAAAATGGAAACAAAATTGTACTAAACACATACACCGCCCTGTATCTTGGTGGCGCTGGTCGACTCCTTCAAGTAATGCAGGAGAGGTTTCCTGAATTGGGTTTGACGCGAAAAGATTGCATTGAAACAACCTGGATCAAGTCTACGATTTACCAGGGACTTTACCCAATAGCTTCACCCCCTCAAATTTTACTTCAGCGACAGAATATATATAAGAATTATTTCAAAGCCAAATCAGACTTTGTTAAAGAACCAATTCCTGAAACCGTGCTCGAGGGAATATGGAAAAGGTTTCTGGAAGAAGAGAATCCAACAATGGTGTTAAGTCCATATGGTGGAATGATGAGCAAGATTTCAGAATCTGAAATTCCTTTCCCTCACAGAAAAGGAAACATATTCCAAATCTTTTACACGACTGGTTGGCAAGATGGAGATAAGAATGAGAAAAAACATGTAGAATGGATGAGGGAGTTATATGAGTACATGGCTCCTTATGTTTCAAAGTCTCCCAGAGCTGCATATGTGAATTACAGGGATCTTGATTTGGGCATGAACAAGAAGAGTAAAACAAGTTTCATTGAGGCTAGAGCGTGGGGTGAGAAATATTTCAAAAGTAAATTCAAGAGACTAGTAAGAGTGAAGACCAAAGTTGATACTGGTAATTTCTTCAGGCATGAGCAGAGCATTCCACCTCTTCCATTGGGAGGCTAGAGATGATATGTATTGGAGCCCTTTATTGATTAAATTCGTACTAATTAAGTATTTAATTTAACTAATACCAAATGTCAAAGTTGTTTTCATCCATTGTAGTAGCAAAATTAATAAAATTATTATCATTGCAACTATCCTTCTGTCTAGTAAATATCATTGCAAATCTCCACATAACCGGGAAGGTTTCAAAGAACCATAAAACAAGAACAATAGTACTTTGTTCATTACAAAATATGTTCATTCATGGCCATTTTCAGGCGTATACAATTCATAATATCCAACAAGACCCTGTATACTTTGGTTCCTCAATTACATTAAAAGTCATCGGGCCTTCAATTATTCACAGACGTCTCCAAGAGAATAACGACGAACTAAGAATTTGGTTTCTTTCAAACAAATAATCAAATTATTTAGCTATAGTATTTTCCATGTAGATAAAGTATACACCGCCGACCGGTTTAATTTTCCAAATTACAGGTTTGAATATGTTGATGCAGTTTTTCACACCAATGAGAGGACGCAAGCCTTTGAAGAAGATTGCGCAAAGGATCTATGGAAGACCCAGAAATGAAGTATGATGCTGAATATGTGGATAACAAGGAGAGTAATGCGAAAAAATAAATGAAGTAGGTAACAGTAAATAGAAGAGTAAGCAAAGCAATTTTCAAAGTGGTTCAGATGGAAGTTACAATTTCTATGTTCACTGTTATCTTATTAATGTGTTTACAAAAAAATATTTGTTAAAGAGAGATAATTGTTCTATAACTATTGACAAAATGAGTTTTTGGATCGTTGATTTGAGGTGAGAACCCCTATTTATAATGTTTTGAGAGTTATCTTAGGTATGAAGTAATTCACATGAAACTCGATATGTGACATTGCATTAGTTAGCTTATAGATGAAGTAGTCCACATACGATTTGACATGTTACTTGAAGGATGACGTGCAACCTTAAAGGTGAAGATCTTCACATGCAGATTGACATGTGACTTTTGAGGGGCGGTTGGCTTCTTAAAGAAGTTGTCTTCTTAGGAGTTAACACACGTCCTGATGATAAGGCACTTTGAGAACACGTGGCTTTGATTTAGTCATGATTTTATCACCCAACATAATTGATTAATTTTTATATTGTTTTGAATTATTAGGAGAATACAATCATATATGTGATTTAGACTAATAATTAATAAATAAATAAATAAAACTTAGAGTAAGGATATGGATTTTCAAATCGTGGGTTCAAGTAAATCTACATCACACCAAAAAGAAAAAAAAAATCCAGAAAATAAAGAAGTGGGTCAAATTAGTTTAAGATAAGATAATTAAGAGCGAAGACAAATGAGATAGATTGATGCGATGGGGGCAACAATGACGACTTCCTTTTGCAGGATAGGCGTTTATTTCCATTTAATAATACTTAATCGCATATTTTCTCTAATTATTTTTAGGAATAATTACTTGTATAGTAATCCCATTTAATAATTGGGGTAACAATCTCCTATGTTTATGCACTTGAGATTTTCTAATGTATTAATTGAGGACGAGATAATTCAATCTCTCTTTTTGACCTTGATGTATGTCCTTTTTCAAATTTGATACATAAAGAAAGGAAATTAGTTTTATCACTTTGAATAATTAGGGTGCGTTTGATTTAATATTTTTATCCATATTCCCAATCTTATTTCCAAAATATTTGTTTGTTTAATTATTTAGGAAATATTAGTATATTTTTAATTACTTTTAGACCCCTTAAGTTTATTAATTTCATTAAATACCCCTAGAAAAAAGTTTAAAAATTAAAAAAAATACCCCCACCCACCCATAGTTGCCAGATTCCAGCAACCACTATCGATGGTAGTTGGAATCTGTCACAATGACCTACAAATGATCGGAACTGGCCGGTAATTCACCGATCTAGCCGGAAAAGGCTAGATCTGGCATTCGACGGCCAGATCTAGACTTTTGCGGCTGTCAACGACCAAATCTGGTTGTCGATCTGGCCTTTTCTGGCCAGATCCACCAGAAAATGACATATCGACGCCCTACCCTTCAGATCCGACCGGTCTGCGTCGTAACGCCATTTTCAGGACAGATTCCAGCAGTGGTGGCTAGAATCTGGCACTGTGGGTGGGTGTGGGTGTTTTTGTCATTTTACAAAATTTATATATATTGGGGTGTTTAGTTAAATTAACAAATCTAGGGGTTTTTTTGTCAATTTTTAAATTTTACCTCGTAATACTCACCCTATTAAACTACCGAATATTATTCCTAAAATCCTATTCAAAATAATAAAACAAACGGACCCTATAAGTGTTTGGTCTAGTTTGCACGTACTTCAACTAATTTTTCAGAGTCTTGAAGTTAATGACTGGATAAAGCCTCTAGTGACCACTGTTAGGGCCAAAAATCATCATTGGCCCAAATAGGAGAACAAGACTGAATGAGGAAGAGACCAGGCCCAATCCCGATGCGGCCCCATCCGGATTAGGCCCATTTTATATGAGATACAGTCAGCCCAAACCATCCGAGCACAAGCCTCCCAATCCCAGTTCACTTCCTGGACCTATGAGCGAGTTCAGAGCCCACGGCACCCACAGATCACCTTCCTATTCGGGATCAATCTCCTATTCAAGGTTACTTTCCTGTTCGGATCACTTTCTTACTCGAACACTGGTAAGACAGCTCACCACCGCCCTAATTCCTCTAGGGTTAGCATTAGAGTCACACTAGGACTCCTGCTCTCACCAGGATTGGGAGACCAGACAGTCACTATATAAGCAGAGGTCAGCCCTCTCACAAGGACATTACATTACACCTTCACACCCGAAGCTCTTACTTGAGAGCTTCACATCACTACCGTAGTCACAGTCCCTGACTAGACTTTCGGTAACCTCTCTACTCCCTAACCTTTACTATACTAGCCTCTTTCAGCCTTGCTGACTTGAGCGTCAGAGTGCCTACAGCCAAGACCACCCGGGCGTTTCTCGTTCGCTTCACGCATTTGTTTCTCTACGTGTGTAGGTGTAGCGGATCGCTAGTGGCCTCAACCTCATGGGATCAGACCCCTCTTCCGTAGAGGTAGATTTTTACGTCTATAGTTTGGCGCCCACCGTAGGGCCTCTAGCAATCATTCGGCTCGACAAACCTTGCTACGTAGAGGAATTTTCCATGGCTGACCCTTCGGACAACGCTAACTCCTGCCTCGAGGCCAGACTGGAGGCTCTGATCGCTCGCATGCAACAAAATTCAAACAAGGTGGCTGCACTGGAAGCCGAGAACAATGCAATCCGGACCGAAAACGCATCCATCAGGGTTGAAAACCAGTCTCTTAAAGAGAAGGTGAGTCAATTCTATGATCTAGAGCTTCTGCCTTGCCAAGTACCTCCCAATCGATTCCGCGCCCCAGTTCCATCCATGCAACCTCTCCAAACCCCAGAGCATAGATCCTCGGCCTCCAGTAAAAGGCCACGTCCATTAAGTTCATAAGTGGTTGACAACTCGATCCTGAATCGTTGACGAAAGGATCTACCAACAGAACCCCTTTCATCTGATCCACCGCAGCCTCGAGATCAAGAAGCCCAAGAGACAAAGAGCCCACACCCGCAAGACTAACCCATTCTTACCATCCAGCCTCACCTCCAGTCAACCATCCCCGCACAAACACCATTCGGCTCGGCTCACCCTCACGGGTTGAACGGCCAACCCAACCAAACTATAGCACTCGAGCCCACCCATCCTGACGAACCGAACGAATATCAAACAACCCCCCTGACCATTCATGTAGGGCGAAACACCAAATCAGTTACCATGGGAGTCATCCCACCGGAGGGAATGAACTGAGATTTAGGCTACCAGGGTGTGCACGAATGAATGATCCACCAGACTACACCGCGGGGGATGACCCAACGGAATATGCCAAAGACGAATGCAATGGCTGACCCAGTCAAACGGGATAACCTAGTGGTATCCCCCTCTCCTATGGAACAGGTACTGGCCAAGAGGCTGACTGATGTAGAGGCAGTGATAAGGCTCATCCCAGGAATGTCGATCCCAACCAAGAAGAGAAGGCACCATAAGAATTTAGGCTTCTCACAACAAAATAATTTGTCACTATAGATATCAAAATTGTGACCTTTTTTTAATGTGAGGAATTATATTGGTCACCAAGTTAGTCACATTAAGCTCGTACTCTTATGTGTATGGTGACGAAAGAGCGTTTGGTCACTATAGCCTAATTATTTATTGTGACAATAATAATTTGTCACTTTAAACTAGTTTATTATGATAAATTATTTGTAACAATAGAAGACATTTTTTATCACTATAAATAATATTTTGTAATAATTGATTTACATTTAAATACCAAATGATAAGCTTTATAGTGAGAAAATAATATATGATGACGAAATTGATTTTATCAAAAATTGTGAATAATGACTAATTTATCTTCTCATAATTTTAATAGTGACCAAAATTTATTTGTCATTGACTTTATTGTGACAACATTTACTTTGTCACATGTTTGTTTATATGATAATATTATTTATCGAAAATTATATAGTGAGAAAAATAATTTTGTAAAAAATTTAATAACATGACAAATAATTTTTAATACAAATATTTTTACATGACAAATTTTTTATGTCAAAAATATATAGGTGTGACAAATATTTTTTGTCATCTCAATATACTTGGTTTCTCCATTTCCATCCCTTCCTTGTATATTTTTTGGGTAAAGGTAATTGTATAAAGAATAAAAAAATAGTCCCAACCCCCAAAGTCAAGTCCCTTGGACAAGCCCAAGCATCCAAGCCAAAGAAAACAAAAAGGTGGCATGGATTTACTTCCAAAAGCCACCAAGCAAGCCTTAAAGAGGACCATACAAATTTAAATGACCAGCAACACAAAAACAATGCCAGACTTTTGGTTTACAAAAGCCAACTGCATATACCACAACCAAAACAACAGAAAAGGAGGAAGTAGTAGCCTACAATCTGTAAATATCCCCAGTAAAAACAGCTCTGGAAAAGCTTCTGGTCAGCGACGAGAAAAGTCTTCTTCCAAGCCTCCAACATTTCCGACATAGAAATATCTGTAGA